CTGGCAGCTTATCTCGGTGATACAAGCCGTAAAAGGCGTTTTCCGAGATTCGTATAGCATTCGATCGATTTTGGGTGCAGCACTAGTGGCATGGTGAATTCGCGATTTCACTGCTTTTACCGCTGCGGCCATTTTAGTGATATAAACGCGGAGATTGCGAATCTCAGTTGGGTCGCCAGCAGTTTTCCGACTCCGTCGGCGTTTGCTGCGAATAACTTGAGATTGTTCCTCGGCCGTTTTCGCATGCTCCATGCAATAGAGTTCCTCCTCGTCCTCGGTGAGAGAGTGTTCGGGAGAGGAATCGGGCTGAGGACTGCGATCTTTCTTCCTCCTCGGATGAACGTCAGCGTCTTCATCTTAAGGATCGGATTGGTCGCTGATTTCAAGATTCACCCTTTCGGCACCGTCTTCCTCGATCTCATGTTCGCGAGAAGGAGATTTTTCCGAGCCTTTTTGTGTCGCATTAAGGTTATCTTTCTCGAAGGTTTGCCTCGGTTGATTACCCTATCATGTTCCTCCGTCCTCTTTTAATAGACAGAGAGTGCCTCTTGCGGCGTCGTAGTGTTGGCCGTAGCGTTAACTGTAGTGACGTTTACTGCTGGAGTTTGAGTCGTTCACATTGACATCGGCTGTCTGTTCTTCTGTCATCGTGATTGTCTGAGCGTGATGTGGTCTGAGAAATAGATAGATCCGTAACCCCCCTCCCTCTAGCGTCAAACTGTGGGAACCAAAATTCACACCGTCGATTTTCGTGAATAAAGGAACTTAGGGAAAACCCTAATTTCCCAGAGTTCCCGGATACCTGCTAAACCACACGCCAAGCAATCAGGAAACGAGAATAACAGCAAGAACAATAAAAATCGAGAAGTAAATGGCAAAAAGGTTTCTTATTCCGAATCTGCGTAAGAGCGGTACAACGAGGAAAAGCCTTGGCTAAAAGAGCTGGCGGCAAGTTTCCTAGTTCTAGAAACCTAAGACTAAAACCTTAGTTGAAACGCAGCTCGATAACAAAAACGGAAATTGCCTAAATGCCTAAGTTTGTGTGTGAAGAGAGTTCTGAATGTCTCATGCTTCTATCCTCGACCCTCTGCTTATATACTCCTTCTCTAGGCGGTTTAATATTTCCTTTTCCGCCTTTATTCGTGCTTATCGGAAATCTTCCATTTATCCCGATCTTTCCATTTTTCTGCGGAAAACTTCTATTTATCTTCAATCTTGACATTTATCTTTTCCTGCGAATAATAGGCTAACTGTCATTGTATCTTTGGGCTGGATCCTGTCTAAAGTCGCGAGTGGGCTTTTATCGTGTTTTAGGATCTTTCGACCTGTTTTACGACTTAGTCGTTTTACAAATTTTGACAAGATCGTTTCCCGATACGACAATGTTTTTAAGTAAACATCTCGAGTTAATCGTATGGTTTGGAACTGTTCGGTGTTTCGTTTAACCGTTGCCGTTTTATACGATTTACTCGAGGTTTCACTAAAAACGCGTATTTTACGATTTTCTATAAAAGATCTCGAGTTAATCGTATAGTTTGGAAATGTTCGGTGTTTCGTTTAACCGTTGCCCTTTTATACGATTATTCTAGGTTTTACTAAAAATGCGTCTTCATGGTTTTTATCGCAAAACTCAAACGGTAAGGCGGAGTGAGACGAAACGAAGGACGTTCCGATCAAGGTTCAGAGTACGATTTAGTCGAGGAGCTCAGATGGTTGAATTCAGCTCGCCCATTGGCGAACTGGACAGATGTGCTCAGCTCGCCAATGGGCAAGCTGGACAAGAGCGAGCGGCTCGCCCATGGGCGAGCTGATCACAGGTGTGGACAGCTCGCCCGTGGGAGAGCTGGACTGATGCGTTCAGCTCGCCCACGGGCGAGCTGGTCACATGTGTGTCCTAGCTTGCCCATTGGCGAGCTGGACGAGTGTTCAGCTTTGGTATTTTCTTGATTTCTCGACCCAAGATCTTTGCGAAGGATGTAAGGAGAAGTGTCCGCAGGCGTTATGAGTCTTGCAATGAAACACTTAAATGTTTGAGTTTCTTAACTTTGTCTCTTAAGTCAACTTTTTATTCTTAAAAGCATTAAAAAATAATAACCCCTAATATGAGTCTTTGCAATAATCATGCTACGTGCACTTTCTCTCTTTTGGTAAGCATCCAATATCTCAGCAAATGAACATTTCTCTAAGCTTCTCTTTGCCCCTTAAGTAGAAGGACAAGAAAGATATCTATACTATTAAAAGTAAAAGAACACTTAAAAAGTCGACTGATTAAATTTGTCTGCATCCTCATTAATGGCATTTTGGTAATTTATTTTTTGGGCTTACATCTACATATATATCGATTTGTTACAAATCATATCAAATATTACATATACCAGAATTATTCTCTCTTCCCATTAATTACTCTAACCATATTTCATTCTATATTTCATACATTTATAGTGTGTTATACAACTTATATTACATGATTTAAATCTATAGATTTCCAACATTATAATTTTTTGGTTGATATTTTTTGCTACATGCATCATAGATCGATGATATGATGCTATATTCATATATTAATATTTTCATATAGTTGTACTACACTTTATATTACAAAGACTATATTTTATAAACCCATGTTACTCTAGCCATGATATGATGTTATATTCATATATTAAGATTTTCATATAGTTATACTACACCATATATTCCAAAGACTATGATATAAACTCATACTACACTGGCCTACACTTTATAGCCAGTGTAATTGATTGTAGACCTTATATTATACGATTTCAATATATAGATTTTCAACATTATAATTTTTGGTTGACATTTTTTGGTATTTGCATTATATATCGATGATATGATGCTATATTTCATAAATTAATATTTTCATATAGTTGTATTACACCTTATATTTCAAAGACTATACTTTATAAACTCATATGATTCTAACCATGATATGATGTTATATTTCCTATATTAAGATTTAAAACACAATTGTACTACACCTTATATTTCAAAAGCTATATGATATAAACTCATACTACACTTTATATTACATACATTAAGTTTTTGTTATAGTTGTAGACATTTGTTAATGTATTATATAATATATTGTCTATATCGATATTTTCATGAGTTTTGCATACTATATCAACCATTTTTAATGTCTCGCTACTTCTATCATTTATTTCATACCTCAAAACCATTTCAAATATAAGGAAAATAGAGAATCCATTCAAATGTCTTTCATTTCATGTTTTTTATGACATTTGAGAATGGAGAATCCATCCAAATGTCCTCCATTTCATGTTTTTTTTTCTTTATATGTCAGTATATCATCACTCTCATGGTGACATTTAATGGACGAGATACGTTTTGTTAAGAAAATATTGCAAAAACTATTTTCTATAATTATCTTCTTACTAAAATAAATAAATTGCTTCATCTACAAGTTTATAGATTAACCACAATCAATATCATGGTTATTTATTCTTTGGTTGGATTCCATAAATTTCGGTAACTTACCGTAGTTGGATTACCATTAACTGTTAAACTTTAAACTTCCTATATAATTCAAAATATCTTTAAGAAATATTCCTTATTCCTCGAAAGAGATATTTTTTTAACATCGTCTAAATATTCTGCCCTACATTTGCGTAATCTAAATGTATATCGTTTCTATCTATTATAAATATAGCCTCTCTTAACCACTATATTCATCATTCCTTGAAAAACTTAAAACAAAAATGGCGAATAATTTGATGTAGATTGCATGTCGCATCCAAGTAAAAATCTTTAATACATGGAGACATTTCATGAAAGACATATGGGAGACAATGAAACTAATTTTTTGTGATGCAAATGTAAGTTTATCATTTTATATAGATTTATGATTTAGATATCTTCATTTCGTAAGTTTTATATATTTAATATAAAAGATATAGACCTATAAACATATTGATTTATAACTTGATATGCAATTCTACTAGTGGTCAGAGAGTAGCTTGCTGTCTTTGGGGTTAATTTGCTGAGAATCTTCATACAGTTAGCAAAGAAACAGAAGACGTGGTAATATGTCTTATACGATTTGATAAGATTGGACAATATAGAAGTATTCCATGAAAGTGAAAATTTCTGTTTCGATTTTGTACTAAATGACCATTGTTTATATAGTTGGAAATATGTTTCTACTAACTCAATGTTTTGATCATTCCTTCAATTTTCTGTTTTATGTCAGACGAAATTACACAAATGCTTATGATTTATTTTGGGTTATAGATGAGGTCTAAATCTCAAATGCTTATTATGTAAGTAGGGCTGCGCATCTGAGTCATCACCTGCGGGTCCTACCCTGTTTGATCCGCTGCGGGACAGGTGCGGGTCAAACAATTTGAAAAAATTGATTGGCGGTGCGGGTTATGAGTATTTTATACGGGGCGGGTGCGGATTGGTAGATTTTGAATCGTGGTTTTAGGGTTTAGGGTTTAGGCCATGGACCCATCCAATTTTTGGTTTCAATTTAATATGTATTTTAATTCTTTATACTCTCACAACAATTAATTTTTTGATTCCGGTTCAAACCAAAATTGACTCGGTTATGTAAAACTCAATGAAAATATCATACTAAAAAGTTAAATATACATCAAATTTCACATATAAAACTATCATAATAAAAATCGAATTAATTGATACATTTTGTTACAACCAAAACAAAACCCGCGTTTCTCAAACGCGGATCAAATCTAGTTTTTTGTTTTATTGCTCCCGCTTCCTCACATCTGTGCTCGTCAAGCGAACTTTGCTTTTTTGGGAGGCGTTCCTCGGGGTTGAAGCGGACATTTCGAAATGACAGCATCGAAGATATTTGTATATATACTCGGCCACGGTGATCCCGGACTGCGTTCGGGAACTTATATATTAGCACCGAGACGGCAACTCTTTTTCTAGTTTGTGAAGTTTCATTCTAGAATAAAAGAAATAAAAACTTAAATTCTTGTTTTAATCCCAAAATTTCTCATATCCCCAATCATTTTCAAAGTGTGTTCATAAGCAAATACAAACCAAAAACACAGAAATTATATTATAAAATTCTTAGTTTTCTAAAACCCAAACAACATTATGTTTTATTTTATTTTTTTTCAAAACACATTGTCAAGTCTCGCATATCGATACGATCAGATTACTTAGCAATTTTAGCCACAAACTCATCAATACTTTTATCAGATTTTCCCCCTTCAGACAAAGCTTCTTTTGCAAACTCCATCAATCTCAAAGCATTCTTCCTAATCTCTTTCCCTTTCTCTGACATCTCTTCCATAACTTCTCCAACACATCTTACAATCTCTTCCTTCGTCACAAACCCATCTTTATCTGCCTTTACCCTAACCCCAACCTTCCACACATCCTCTATAAACTTAGCATTTGTCGGCTGGTCGCTATAAGCCGGCATTCCAATCAGAGCCACTCCTAAGCTCAACGCCTCTAAGGTTGAATTCCAACCGCAATGTGTCATGAAACAACCAATAGATTTATGTGCAAGAACTTGTAATTGTGGACTCCACTTCACTATTAGTCCTTTCTCACCAATTTCCTCAATGTAATTGCTTGGGAGCTTCTTTGTCTCTGTTTCTCTAACCACCCATAAGAAATTATGGCTGGTTTGTTTTAGACCAGCTGCGACTTCAATCATTTGAGCGTCTTTTAAAACTGCTAGGCTTCCGAAAGAGACGTAGATCACTGACCCAGCCGGCTTTGAGTTAAGCCAATCAAGGCATTCATTTTGAGCACTAAAGAGGCTGAGTCCATAGTCTTTGTCGCCTGATAGTCGTTTGTCTAAGTACATTGATGGAATCATTGGTCCTATATTCTTGACCGGCCATTGTTTCTTCATCCATTCTAACACCTAAGAAAACCAAATGACATTATATTATTAAAGAAACGTAAGTATAGCTTGATTGAATATACACTACCGTAAATTAATTTCATAATCAACCAATCAATCCATACATATAGTAATAATAACTATATAACTTTTATTAGAACCCTGTTTGGTATGACCTTTGTCTCTACTAGGGCTTACATGAACATCATCATTAAACTCATTTTTATTCATGAACCTTCAAGTCTACAACCACTGAGCAGGGGCATAACAATTGAAAAGTACCAACATTACAGTTGAAATCTTCACTTAAATATCGTTACTTCTTTGTTTTAATTTTATATGGTTCACATCAATTACTACAATTACTTTTATTTTGCTTTCTTGTGCAGATAATTAATGATATCTATGAAAATAAACAAAAACTCTTTTTTTTTATTTGTGATAAAAAAAAACTCTTTTGGTTTGTCAAAATAATTACCTCAATTTCGAGTTCGTCGAAAGAGTTAACCAAGAAGAAGTCAATGTGGTCAACATTCACAAACTGGCTACAGAGGAGCTCAAACAACGGCCGACAAAGATTATTGTCGTAAAGAAACACAGGCAAATCACTACCCTTCAAAGGAGGCATCGCAGGCAAGACTACGTCGTCTTCAAACTCCTTAAACGCTCCACGACTGAAATGAACATAAATCGCGTTCACGATGGAGCACTGAGTGAAAAACGACGCCGCAGCGACACCAGGATGTTCCCGGCAAACGTCGAGAATCCAAGGCATACAGGAATCGTATACGACGGCGTTTGGTTTGGGTTCCATGGAGGAGATGAGTTGAGAGAGGCTCCGAGAGACGTTTTCTTGGAGCTTTGCGAAGTACTCGGGAGAGGAGTCGGTTGATGGATGGCCTTCCTCGAAGCCATCGTCTAGGGGGACAAAAGAGAGTGGAAGAGAGGTGGCTCCTCCGGCGATGGCACGGCGGATGATGTTGTTGTGAGTGGAGGAAGTGGTGAGGAATGTGACGGTGACGTTTTTGGAGATAAGACGTTTTGAGAATTGGAGGAGAGGGTTTATGTGTCCTTGGATAGGAAACGAGAAGACTAACACGTTTGCTTTTGCTTCATCTCCCATTTTCTTCACTCTTCTTTGTTCGATGTTGGTGATAACACCCTCCTCTAGATGTGGTGCGCATGGATAAGAATAACTATATATATATATATATATATGCGTCATTTTGTGTTGCTCCTTGTCCCTTTTTCTATACACGTAAGTTAAAAAGTTGGTGGGTCAGTGATTTGGTTATATAATCTTGTCTTAATACTTATGTGTATGAGTGTATCATATAACACCATATAGTCCTAATTCTTTTACAAATGATGTTCCACAATCATAATGTTTGTTTTGGTTCAGTGGTGCAGAATATTTTAAACTAACCCACAATGGATGTTATCTTTTGATGTATTTTATGCTATTGTATGAATTTCTACATTATGACTTTCTTTAGTTTTGTTAATATTTTTTACCATCTTTTAATTTGCATATATCTTTATGGTTTATCTTATCATTTAGACATTAACTTTCTTTTTGATTCATTGGAAAGAAAACTTTCTTTCTTATGTAGATTTTTCTTTCGCATTTTCTATCATTGGCTTCATTTTCTTTTGTTATTATTTGATTTTTGCCATCCTTTCCTTTTGATTTGGTCAAATAATATTTAGTTAAATAAACATTTTGATTTATTTAAAATTATATTTAAGAAAAAAATATATTAAAATTAAACTTAGATAGATTTTAATTATTTATTTTGGTTAATATATATTAAAATCAATTTGTATAAAAATTAAAAAGTGATATTGTTTTTTTATAATTATCAAAAATAAAAGTAAACAGAATTTTAAAATTTGTAGATATCAAAAGAAAATAAATGATGTTAGGATAAAATTGTGTAAAATTTTTGAAAATCTTGTTTGCTAATAAAATTATATGATTATAAAAATATACTTAATAATATTTCAAATTTTGTAAAATATTTGTATTTCTATTATTATTATATTTACAAAAATTAGGTTCACCTCGTGAGGTGAACTTTTAAATTCACCTCGTGAGGTGAACTTTTAAATTCACCTCATTTTTAAAGCTATTTTACTCTTTTTAAAAAATATTTAATATTTTTTATTCATTAATCTATGTGTCATAATGAATGGTTATTAGAGGTAAAGTGAATTTAAAGATTCACCCTAAGGGATAACTTAAGTTTTGTTCTTAAGTAAACCACTGACATCAGAGTCTTGATTCAAGTATATCGTCTTCTAGAGAATATATCTTCCCTGTTTGCTGCTGACATAAAGGTCAAAATGGAAGAGGAAAAAAGAAAAAACTTCAAAATGGAAGCATTGGATTTTAGACTATGTATATATGTTAGTCACCTAACGACATTCTAAAAACCAATGTATAGTTTGTAGGTTTTATATTTGACCAAAATAAATTGTAAATTTCTAGGACATGTGATGGATTCAAGGTGCATCTCACTTCTTGGCAGGTATTTATTCATTTTGCAATGCCCAAGGCTAGGTTCGACCGTGTTTATTATACAGCGTGACTTTTAATTGATTAATTTTTGTTTCTTTGAAACATCTCCTCTATAGAGTTTTTATTTTTATCTACTGATACAAATCTACTCTATTAAAACATAATTTTTTTATTTACTAATATAAATTGTCATTTAAATTTGAATCATTTTTAGAATATTACAAATAATATAAGCCATATAATTAATTAAATTACATTACTTAAATTAAACCGGTGGTTATTTATGAAATATAGTCTTGGGTTTACTTTTTTTAGGACAAATTATATGATTTGGTTTTTTGACTTAGTATTAAAAAAAACTCCAAAAACATTGAATAAATTTTTCACCTTAATGGATCAAAAAATCAATAATTATTTTCAGGCTCAAATGTATTTAATATTTGTAACAAAACAAAATTATGTATTATTAATCATTTATTTAAATCATGTACTTTAAAACATGTTAATGTATTTTTTATTTTCAAGAAAAATTACTTTGTTTTGATAAATTTCAATGATAACTTTTAAATAATTTATTTTTATATTTTTATTAAATAATTTACTGATTTTAAAAAAAAATGTTTAGCAAAACCAAAAACCAAGTCTAAAAACTAAAATTCAAAACCAAAAGCTGAAAGTGCAGGTTATATTTTTTGTTTTTGTTTATTTACAAAATAAACTATTGCAATTTTTTTAAAAACTATTTTTTGTCATATTTTCAGTTTTAAATTAGAAGTTCGATTATTTGGTATTTTTTTGTTGGTAATATCAGTTCAAACTAACTCAATGGTTCTAAAAATTAAAAACTCAAACCAAAAGCTGAAAATCAAAAATAAAAACTTAAAAACTAAAAACTAAAAACCAAAATCTAAAAAAAAAATCTAAAAATAAAAACTGAAACTAAAAACTAATGAAAAATAATCATCACTACAAATTTTGGTGAACTGATATTATACCAAAACATTTTTTAAATTAAAACAAAACCCAATTATATAAATTTTTAATCTTAAAAAGTTTCTGCGTTTGAAAAGCACAGTTCAAAATCTAGTTGTCATTTAACTTTGGTCTCTTTCTAGAGTGTTACAAATAATACAAGTCATATAGTTGATTGAATCGCATTACTTACATTAAACCGGCAGTTATTTATGGGATAGAGTTTTGGGCTTACTTTTGTTTTTAAGAAAATTATATGGTTGTTTTTTAGGCTTAGTATTACGAAAAAACTCTGAAAACACATTGAATAAACTTTCCACTATAATGGTTCAAAAAATCAATTACTATTTTCAGCTCCAATGGTATTTAATATTTTTAACAAAACACAATTGTTTATTATAAATCAATTATTTAAATCAAGTATTTTAAAACACGTTAATGTATTTTTTATAGTAAATAACAATTACTATGTTTTGATAAATTTCGTTGGTAACTTTTAAATAGTTTATTTTTTTATTTTTCTTAAATAATTTACTGATTTAAAAGAAAAATAAGTGTAAAGCAAAACCAAAAATCAAATCTAAAAACCAAAATCCAAAACCAAAAGATGACAACGAAGGTTATTTTTTTTCTTTTGTTTATTTACAAAATAAACTATTGCAATTTAAAAAAAAAAACTTTTTGTCATCTTTTCAGTTTTAAAATAAATGTTTGATTATTTGGTATTTGTTTGTTGGTAATATGAGTCAAATTAACTCAGTGGATCTAAAAATTAAAAACTCAAACCAAAAACCAAAAACCAAAAACTGAAAATTAAAAATAGAAACATAAAAAATAAAAACCAAAACCAAAATTTAAAACCAAATCTAAAAATAAAAACTGAAACTAAAAACTAATGCAAAACAACCATCACCACAAATTTTGGATTACTGATTTTATATCAAAACATACTTTAAATAAAGATAAAATCCAATTATATAAATTTTTAATCACAAAAAATGTTCCCGCTTGAAAGCGTGGCTCAAATTCTAGTCAAATTATTAAATTAGAGTTCTTTTTTATTGACAGATTTTTGGACTATCATTAAAAATATTATGGTCCAAATAAAACTAACGGCACTAATATTTAACATAATATTATTTAACTCCTAATATATTAACACTAATATTTAACATAATCTTATTTAATTCTGAACTAGATCATGATTGTGCACCCGCGCAGATTTTTTTTTTTGGATGTATTCTATATAATTTAGTTTTATATAGTTTTGAGTTTGTCCAACTTGATTTTATCTTCTATATTAATAGCGTCAAACAATGTATTATGTAGATATAACCATGCAAAATCAAATTTAAACATAATTGTTTGAGTTAAAAAATAAACTGAGAGTTTAGTTAATTCTGATATTAATAATTATCCAATGCTTTTAAATAATATACAAATTTCTAAAATTTTCGACCTTAACCTTTATTTTATAGGTTATGTCAAATTTAAACTTAACTTTGGTCCAAACTTTGCAAGCGCAAAATATTTTTTGATGAATTTTTTTATAAATAACTTAACAAATATTTTGGTAATTTGAAAAAATTATGTATTTAAAATATTTTTGCATTTAAATTACTATTTTTTAAATTCAACCCAAACCGCGGTTAAACCGATGATCTGATATTTAATTTGATTTTTTATTTTTTTATTTTAAATCACCAAAACCTGAAACTAACCGATTGAACGATGAATAACTGATATATAATATTTAAATCTGTAAAATAAATTTATTTTCATTGTTTTATATATGAAATATGGTGAGATCTAATAATTTCAAAGAAAATTGTGAAAATTATTAAAAATGGTGAGATCTAATATTTTATATGGTTTAATTGGTCATAAGATTAATTATAGTGTTGTTTGGAAATATGAATAGTAGTATAAAGAAATGACTATATTGTTTGAACATAAAATTAATTATCGTGTTGTTTGAAAACATGTATAGTAATATAAAGATATAAATATATTGTTTGGAAATATGAATAGTGGTATAAATAAATGAATATTAGTAATTTCATGTAGGTTTAACTATAAAGTATAAATATATATTTAATTTAAAAACTTACAAAAAAAATGTTAGATCCAATCTAATTTCTGATTTAATAAGATAGATATATTATCTATTATATATTCTTTCACAAAAATATTTTTTAAAGTTACATAGTATATAGTATTATAAAATGAAAATTTCAACAAATTATAATTTCATAGAATATTCTTTTTTACACTGATTAATTATGCATTATAAATTATAAAAAATATTATATAGATGATATTGCAATCATATCGATCTTCAGTATTTAATGAAAATATATCTACTTGTAAACATGTGAAGTCAACTGAGAAATATGACATTTTGTTTACATTTATAAAATAAATTTCAAAAATTTTGTGATAAAAAATCTATCTATTCATATATAATATTTTACGTACACTTGTTTATGTGTTTTACCGTTTTACGTAACAATCATTATAAGTTCAAACAATTTTGACTAGATAAAGTTTAAGCAGAAAAAAAAACAATTTTGACTAGATAAAAAATAGGGATAAGAAAAGAAATCTGACGCAATAGTAGTGGCTCACAAACGTATCTTTCTCAAACAAGTAAGAAAGACAAAAGATAACTATTTGGAT